ACGGCCAAACAGCTACAGGCGAGCAGTAGCAAACTCAAGCCCCCCACCTCACCACCTCAACCTTCTTCCACTACCTCAACTTCCGCCTCCGCGACACCTTCAGTACCGCCATCTTCTACGTCCTCGCAATCCTCCTCATCCTCGACCTCTCGCGGACCCGCGGCCTTGCTTTCGGCCGCCTTGAGCGGACCAACTGGGGCGAACGGGAGCGGCGGCAGCCCTCTGTTGCGCAACACGACCGTGCCCCAGGGTGGTGCTGGGATTCGTCTGCACAAGACCCTCTCGTTGGGCGAGAAGAAGCAGGCCGTCGCTCTGCCGGTCGTGTCCATCTCCCTCCCACCCTTCTCCCCTGCCTCCACCACGCCCACCACCGACCCTCTACGGAGATTTCCACCTCCGCCCACCTCGTCCGCAACCGCCACCACCACCTCCTCCACATCTTCATCTTCAACAAACACCACCGCCACCTCGAAAGTCGGCCCGCCTCTCCACGCGAATGATGGCAAGCCACGTCAGCAACAGCCGCCCCAGGCCACCCCAGGTACTACTCCCCCTTCCCCTCTTCGAAGGCCGCGTCCCTCGAGCCTCGGAACCTGCCTGACAGCGCACCTCGCCTTCGGTCTTAGGCGGACCGCTGGACGACCACGCCGCCGGCATTAAGGCCAAGGCCAGGAAGCAGCAGCCGAAGGAAGCTCACTCCGTGCAGTCGAAGGAAAGCACCGCGGCGGCTGCGGCGGGAAGAAACTACATCATCTTTCCCTCGCTGGCGGAGATGGCCGACACCGAAGCCGGGAAGAAGGCGTCGCTCTCCCTCTCGGACGGCGCACCCTCCGTCCAGTTCAGGCGCCACTTTCTCTTCCCCGAGGCCGGTACGCGAACCCCACACCATTACCAAGCTCCACCCGGGTGTTAGGGACGAATCGCCGTTCAGATCGCCACCTCGAAATTTCGCAGGCTGGTTCCAAATTGGGCGATAAACGAGGAAAGGCTCGTTGCAGTGCAGCTACCTACCTAAATATGGGGATCCATCATCATGATCAAAACGGTGTATGGAAAAGGGTGTCGCTGCTCGTAATTGGTATAACCACCCAAATCTTACGTTATCGAGAACGGCCACAACTAGGTGCTGCGCTCTTCTCGAATCTGACCACACAGGCGTGTTGGGTCGATGACCGTGAGGGCTCCACCGGACGAGCGCCATCCAAGTTTGCGTGGTACAATGTCTCTCGAACCAGCTCATGCCCCGTTTTTGCAGATACTCATGCGCTCCTACTCTCTTGTTCTGCGATCATTTGCAGGTTTGGCGACTCCCGATCAGAGCTTTCATCGGGTGGTGTGGTCATCAAGCACGAGGAGTGGACGCGGATCCCTCTCCTTAGCGAACTCCGAGACAAACTAGAGACCGAGTTTCATACCACGTTCAACGCTGTTCATTGCTCCTATTTTCGAAATGGTACGCGGCTGGCCCTTGCTCTTGGGTGGCCCAACACATAAGTGGTCGCTTATGTCTCGCGTTCCCCCCCCCCTTCTTTTCGCAGGATCAGAGTGTTCCGGGGGCTGTCCAGATGATCCTCAAAGCCAGAAGACCGACGCCGTGTTCGTTTGTCTGGGGCAGTACGTCGCGCTTCAACTCTCAACCCACAGAGCAACTGCCATGGGGCCATTTGCTTATTGCGCGTGCTCCAGGAAGCGCAATCTCCTGCTCTCCCCCAAGGCCAGGCAGGACTGCGGCACGAGTAGCAAGTTGCCGCATGTCCGCGTCGTGATGGAGGCCAATGCTGCGCTCTTCGTGCACCGAACAGCGCGTTCACTCTACGACTACTCGGTACCGTGCTCCCCGTGGAATTGGTTGTGTCGCTGCTGTGGTCTTCTGATTTGTGTCCGTGGTTGCCGCTTACTCCAGGTGCCGCAGAGCGAGGAGCTTGTGACAGGCGGGAACATCATGCTATGCTTCCGCCGGCTCGCCGCCACTCCCAAGAATACCACGCCCACGGTCGCTGGCAGGGACCCACTGCGAAGTAGCCAGTCACGCACGGAAGGAAGTCAGGCCGGCGACAAGACAAAGACGCCCTCGGGGAAGGGCAACACCGCAGCGCGCAATGCACCGACCAGCGCCAAGAACGTCATCTACATAGACGAGGACGACGAAGTGTTGGATTCCCAGAGAGGTACGGCCCCGAACTGCTCTCGATGCAGCCACCACCCGGGCTTTCTTCTGATTCGCTGATCTGTCCGCCAGAAGCCTCGACATCCGTGAAAACCGATGATCTGCAGGACTACGTGGGGCGCATCTTCTCATCGAGGCACGATCTGTACAGTTTGGGCCTCCACATGACCTACACGACCTCCATCTGCGGCAACATGGAAAAGGGTACCGGCTGCTGCTCCTTCGAGAGCTTGATGTCGACTCTGGCTTACGTTGGGTGTGGCCATCAGGAGCCGACTCCATTCTTCTGTCTGATCCTGCCGCGCCACCGGTCAACGAGCGACTCCTGTACACATGCGTCAACAATTCGCACGAGAACCAGATCGAGAGGGCCGTACTCCAGGTGCGTGCACGCGGAGGTTCAAAGTTCACCCTCAGTGTACTGACCACCATTACACCAACAAACAGATCAATGTGCTGAATGATATCCCCGTTCGGCTGGTGCGTGGCTGGCGAGCCGACTATGAGACCAAGAGCAGCCGCTCTAGTGACAAGGACGACGAACGGATGTGGTACCGATACGACGGACTCTACTCGGTGCGCCACTACGTCGACGAACCCTCGCGGGACGACGGCCCACCGAGCGGACGCGGCGAAGGGCCGGTCTTCTGTGAGTTCCTGCTGACGCGACTCCCGCTCTACCCGACTCCGCCGCTGCCACCGATGGCGCCCAAGAGAAGCGAGCCTCCCAAGCCGACCCTGCCATCCATCTCGTCCCTCACCTCCCTGCCCCCGCCGTCGTCGTTCCGGGACGCGCGGAAGATCGACCTCCGGCAGGGCGACTACCTCTCGCGGGACTACGATGACGACGACGGAGTCGAGATCATCGAGGTCAAGCACGCTTCACAGCCACCTCACCACCTCCACCCCACTTCCACCTCGTCTTCATCCTCGACTTCCCAGCACGGTCAGCAGCCGCGACAGCTGCTCCCGCCCACGTCCTCTCTGCTGAACCCGAGCGCATCCTCGTCTCCCCTGCGCCGGCTCTCCGGCTCGGAGCCACCATCGCGCATGCCCACCTCCTACTCGCAGCTGATGCCCGCAAGCTCGCCACAGCGTCAGCACCCGCAACACGCAACAGCAGCAGCATCAGCAGCCGTCGTCCATACCGCTGCCGGGCATTCTCCCCTACATGAAAACCGCCTACAGCGGACCCTCGCCACCGAGCTCAGCCGGGGGTTCTTCGAAGCTCGGCGCTCCACCACCTCCGCCTCCGGCCTCCATGTCTCTCCCTCTCCCGCCTCTCCCTCCCTCCCATGCCGCTTCCCTACAGCCGCCTCCGCCGTCGCAGTCCAACAGCAGCAACCTCAACGCGGCCATGCTGATGTACAACCTGTTCGGCGTCAACCCCGTGATGCCGCAGGCGCCGCCCGGCCTAGCTGCGCTCTACCCCGCGGTAACGCCCTACTCGGACCCGCAGCAACAGCAGCAGCTCTCGGAGCTGTTTCGACCCGCGACCACTTCCATCCCCGTTGGCGCCACAGGCTCAGCACCACTTGGCGGCGCTGGCGCCGCCACCCTCTGCTGCGCAGTCGCCCATGGCCCTGCAGCCATCGCTTTATGAGGTGCCCACGGCGCACCTGCTCTTCTTCATGAATCTCATTCCCCAGAAGGACCGCGAGATTGCCCAGATCATGCGGCAGAAGGAACTCGACAACGCCAAGCCCAAGCGGAAGGACGAGTCGCACGACAAGAAGCGAAAGCGGCGGTCGAAAGAAGAAGCGAGCGGGACGAAGAAGAAGGGCGGCAGCAGCAAATCGAACGGGCGGTCGCGGAGATCGACGGTCGACGAGGAGTACATCGACCTGGGGCTGGTGGACAACGAAGACGACGAGATCATCAACAACTGGTCCTCGCGACGGCGTGGAGCCGCCGTGCAGAAGAAGAGCGACGTCGAGTGGGAGAAAGTGAAAGAGCTGGCCGCCGCCGAGCGGTCGGTCAAACGGAAGAAGTCCAGCGGCGGCGGCGGCAGCAGCCGACATCACAAGGCGGAACCGGTTGACGCCGAGCCGATGAGGCCCAAGGAGGTCTCGCCGAACAAGCGGAGCCGAAGCGACCGAAAGGGCCGAGGAGCGGCCGAAGGAGAGGACGAAGGTTCCGTCTTCTGCATCTGTCGCTCATCCGAGGAGTACGGCTTCATGATCGCGTGCGACAAGTGCAACGAGTGGTTCCATGGCGGCTGCGTCGGACTCACACCGGTATCTACACCTTCCCCCCAAATCATATCGACAACCCCGCCTAACTGCTGTCGTGTGTGTGTGTCGTGTTCAGGCGGAGGGGCAGGAGATGAAGACCTACATCTGTCCACGATGCCACCCGCCAAATCCGCGCAAGAAGGCGTTCCCTTTGGCGACGCCCTGTCGTTCGCCGCGAATGGAGCGCGGCGATCACGGGTGGGCGTCGCGACGAAGAAGGAGAACGAGAACGAGGAGGACGAGTTTGTGGTGGACGAGGAGAAGATCGAATGGAACGAGCTGGGCGAGGTGGTCTACTGCGGCGACGGCGACATGACGGACGATTTCCAGTCCGATGACCCGAGCGGGTTCGTCTTCGTGGCCTACGGCTCGTTCGACGACATTGCGCGCGAGCGCGAAGAGGCGCGCAAGACGCGGGAGGACTACGTCAAGAAGCAGCAGCAGCAGCGCTACCTCCAACAGCGCCTCCAGGCCATCATCAAGCAGGACAACGCCGCCACCAACGGCAATCCCGCCGTCGAGCCCGCGCTGGAGGAGCCCACGGCCTCGCTGCACCCCTAATCGAGTGCTCTTCGCCAAACACAGACAATTTTCTTTGTTGTCTTTTTTGTCTTTTATTTTATTTCCTATTATTTTATTTCCTATTATTTTATTTCTCTGATGTCGCAGGTGGTGAAGAGGGACTGGGGCGGGCGCGGCCTGACGCTGGAGCGGCTAGAGCGCGAGCTCGACGGGTTCGCCCATGCGCGGGGCGGCCGCCCGTGCCGTCTGCAGCTCTACGTGCCCGACAACCCGGACCTCTTTGCGGGCGAGCAGGCCTTGACCCACAGCCTGCTGCGTCGTCTGGTGGGGCGGGCGGCGGTGGATGAAGAGGGCAATGCAGGCGACGGCAGTGGAGTAGTCGTGGTGGAGGTCTTGCACATGGGCGGCTGCGGCATGGGCGCTGAGGGGGCGCACGCGCTGGCCGAGGCACTACGCGGGGGTGGGAGGGGCGGCACCCTGTCCAAGCTCTGGCTCAAGCGCAACCCACTGACCCTTCCCGGTGCCGAGGCCGTCCTTCGTGCTGCGGCTGCGGCTGACAGCTCGCCCCGGCTCACCTCCCTCGACTTCTTCAACACCCAGCTCGGACCCGAGGCCGCCGCGGTGTTTGCTGGTACAGACCACTACTTGGTCTCCCTCTGTGGCCCTCGTGGAAGGCGAAGCTAACTCGTGGACGGTGCCTGCGCTTGGCTTGGCTGGGGGGGGGGAACAAGAGGTGCTGCGGGCCAACAAGAAGATCAGGCACCTGTTCTTGGGCGGCAACCACTTCGGTCCGGCGGGCGGCAGGGCCATGGCCCAGCTGCTGCGTGATGGCAGCGCGCTCACCAGGTATGCTCCTGCACACTCTACGCCGCGCTGACGACCCTTGCTCGACGTCTCACCGCATTCAAACGCCGCGGCGCTCTGGCACGTACACGTCATCCCCCAGGCTATCGCTGGACATCAGCCACCTGCGGGACGAGGGTGCCGCCAGCATGGCCACCGCGCTGCAGCAAAACACGAGCCTGACCTACCTGTGCCTCAAATACAACGGCTTCACCCCTCGGGGCGTCGCCTCCCTCTTTGGCGCGCTTCAGGTGAAGAAGAGCCCCCCCCCGCCAGCAAGCTGCGCAATGCGTGTGATGCAGGCCCATTGGCTGACCTCATGGAATGCGTGTCGTCGGTCAGGCCAATCCTCGCTCCCGGCTCGAAACCCTGATCCTGGGCTGGAAGCTGACCTACGACGAGCTGGCCTCCAAGGACGGCGTGCCTCCCGAGGAGATCAGGTCGCTGGCCAACCACGTGGGCACGCGCGACGATCAGCAAAAAGCGGTGCGATCGCCCCTGGCCGACGACGAAGCCGAAGCCGCCGACGCCGAGGGTGAAGAGCAGGCCGGCAAGAAGAGCGAAGGCGTGGAGGCGCTGGTGCGACTCCTGCGGGATCCGCACTGCTCGCTCACGCACCTCAACCTGTGCCGCACCTTCCTCAGCGTGGACGAGCTGGCGGCGATCGCCGACGCCGTGCAGCACAGCAACACGTCGAGCCTGCGCCAGCTGCACCTCCACCCGCAGACCGACGACCTCGGCACGCAGAGGGAAGAGAAGCGCATCGCCGACCGGGTGCGCCAAATACTGGACAAGCGCGGGCGCGAGCATCGGCAACGCGGACAGGAGGAGCCAGTCGAGGCCGACGCCCACGCCCACGTGGAACAGCGCCAACGACCTGCGGATGTCGAAGCGACGCCGAAGCCCGCGGCAGTGGCACAGCCAGCCGTGGGTATGAGCGAGCTGAGGAAGAGGAAGAAGGAGATCACCGAAGAACTACAACTGATCGAGAAGGAGGACAGAGCTACGGGTGACGACGAGCAACTGGCCAAGCGAGCGCACGATCTGCGTGAGGAGCTCGCGGGCATCGCCGACGCCATGCAGCGGGCCAAGGCGCTGGTCGAAGCCGCGCGCAAGGTCCTGCGCAAACAGAAGAAGCGACAGCGCAAGGACGACGCCAAACGCAACCCAGACGACTGCGCACACACCGCACACACCGCACACACCGCACACACCGCCCCTTAATTAATCTCAGGGCGTTCCGTGGCCCACAACTCCGCTTTCGCGCCCGGTGTCAAGGGGACGGGAGGTAACGCAGCGAAGAGGTTAGGGTGGTTCAGTGTCACGTTACTCAAGCCGCACACGAGGGAGACCGAAAAGAGAGCGCTTGTATGCACGTGATGAAGGTCGGCGACATGATGGAAGCCAAGAGGAAGAAGGGCAGTCCTGCGCAGGGAGAGGAGACCAGAGAGATGAAGAGAGATCATTTGAAGCAAAATTGGCGAGAATCGAGAAACGGGAAGACACTTAGCTTCGGCATCCTGGCACTGATGCTCGTCGCCTCCGTGCTCAGCAACTTTGCCGCTTTCCACTTCAAGGAGGCCCTGCCCTGCAATCTCTACCTCTACCTCGCCATTTCCAACATCGTCCTCTTCATCACCCATCAATCGCTCTCGGTCTACTTTCATCCCGAGACCGTGTCGCTCGCCACCAGCCCCGTGCCTCCGCTCGTCCCGCACTCATGGCGCGGTCGGATAGGCCGCCAGCTCATGCTCGGATTCGAATTCCTCACCAACAAGCTGGGCGTGACCGTGCTCTGCGCCCAACTGGGCTTCATCCTGCATCTCTTCCTCCTCTCCCCCGCCGAGGGCCGCCTCGAGATGAGCGTGCTCGACCCCAAGCTCGGTCGACCCCTCCCCGAGAAGGACTATGGCAACAGCTGCGACAACCTCAGCCAGGTACACTACCACCACATGGACTCTCTGACGTGGCTCTCTCTCTCTCTCTCGAGCGTGTGTCCTCACTTGGTTGGTGGTGGGCGGTGCTGGTGCTGCACTAGGTGTACGACTCGCTCTACGACTTCTTCGTGTTCGTGCACTTCACCGGGTTCATGCTCATGGCGGGTTGCATGCGTAGCTTCGCGATGCGTACGTCGCTTCTCTCTGCCACGATTGTTCGAAGGCGTGTCTCACATTCTCTTTCTCTCTCGTGCCGCGTTCTCTTCTTCTTCAGCGTTTGCGGTTGGCGTGTTCGATGAGCTCATCGAACTTTCCCTGCAGCACATCTTCCCTAACTTCCGCGAGGTATGCTCGCTCATATTCATGTGTGTGGGCGTGGTGTGGTGTGTGTTGATCGATCTGACGCAATAACGTTGGGCGGGGTGCGTAGTGCTGGTGGGACCACTTCCTCGCGGACATCTTCGGTGCCAACCTCCTGGGCTGCCTCACGGGCTATCTCATTACCCAGGTCACCGACGTCCAGCCCTTTACCTGGCTCGCGCCCGTGCCGGTCAACGAGCCCTCGCCCAAGCCCCGCCTGCGCCTCTTCCCCTCGCCCTTCTTCTCCAAGGTCTACGACCTCTTCTTCGGCAGCGACAAGCGCCCGCTCTTCTTCCTCGCCATCATCTTCTTCCAGCGCACCGGTACACGTCCCCTTTGCCTTCGCTTCATTCATGCCGCCAGCATTGCACACAGTAACTTACACATCACATCACATGACCATGAACTGCGGTCGACGCTACAGTGGGCTTCGTGATCCCGTTCGCCTTCAAGTACGTGATGTGGGTGCCGGTGCCCCACATCATCTTCATCTGGCACGGTGTCTGCCAGTTCGGACTTCAGCTGCGGCTCTACGCCGAACTCTACCAAGACCTGGCCTCGACCTACGCCGACGAGCAGCACGCCCAGCACCACAACAACGGCAAGGACCGAACGCCGACCAAGGGCTCCACCACCACCACACGAAGCGCATCAGCAACAGCGACATGGGGATCTGGCGGTACCAGTGGCGGATCATCAACGTGGCCGTGCTGGGCCTGGAGGCGGGCTTCATCGTCAAGACCCTCCTCCTCGCGTACAGCAACCTCACCCCGCCCACCGAGATCCTCGCCATCTGGCTCTTCATCGTCATCGCCATCGCGTTCTGCCTCACCTTCTCCTTCGACAAGCGTCCCAAGAGCAGCCGCTCCTCTTCGGCCGTCAAGAGGAAGATGCCCTGAACTCCCCGCGAGCGACGGTCAGCCCTCTTCATTTTTGGTCCCATTTTACGACATTATTCACTTCTTGTCGACACAGCATTTTTTCTCCATTTTCTTTTCTGTTGGCCTTGTTCGCTGATGCAGGAGAAGGAGCGTGGTCGTGGACGAGAAGGAAACCACAGGTGGAAGGTGAAGGTTCGACACAATGCAACACTTGGCTGAAATGAGGGCTGCTGGTCTGTTGCCGGCGAGGGCGGAGGGGTGGCGAGGATCTGGAGGGGCGTCCAAAGTGAAGGTGACGGTGCTGCAGCAGCTGCCCAAGGCGGGTAAGGCAGCGGCAGCCAGCTTGGACACCTTCCTCCACACCCAGCTCCAGCGGGACGGCCGCAAGGCCGACATCCTCATCCTACCCGAGAACTGGCTGGGCGCCAGTGGACACGTACATACTACGCCCCTCCTGACTCTTTACTGGGTCGAACGAGTAGCGGCAGGGCCACTCTGGCTCACGTAGGGACACTACGCCAGGCCGACGTGGCGACCAACAGCAGCTTGCAGCTCCTGGCCGACGTGGCCAAGGCCCACGCCGTCTACATATGTATGCCCAGCTTCCCTCTCTGTGCTAGCTACGGCGTGGATGCGTGTGCTCACCACGTGTTGTTATTGGCCTCCTAGTGGCGGGCACGATGGCCGAGGTTCAAGGCGGCAAGCGCTACGTGACGTCGGTCCTGCTTGCAGCTGATGGAACGATGGCCGGCCTCTACCGCAAGCGAAAGCCCACCATGGAGGGCGCGGTACGCGCATGGCCACACTAATGTTGCGCGGCGCGTGGCACGAGTCCCCAGTGTGGCTAAAGGTGAGAATTGCACAGCACGACCCGGGCAACGAAGTGGGCATCTTCGAGACGCCGCACGGGCGCATCGCGGTCATGATCTGCTTCGACGTGGAGAACGCAGACATCTTCGAGGAGACCCTGTCGCACGACCCCGTGGTCATTCTCAATCCGACGTGGATTCCGCTGCCGCGGGTGATCAGCACGATGCCCTCCGTGGCGTCGCCCTCCTGCTCGTACCCACTGTCCCTCCTCACGGCCTGGGGCAATGCCATGGAGACCATGTCGCACAAGTTCGAGAACATCTGTATCGAGCGGGGCATCTACCTCGTACGCACCTTCGTTCTGATACGCCTGCGTGTGCGATGCTGATCTATGGTGTGTGTGTGTGTGTGTGTGTGTGTGTGTGTGTGTGTGTGCAGGTGAGGTGTGACATGCCGTATAACTGTGCCACCGGCACGAGCCAGGTCATTGCGCCTCACTATACTGCACACGCGGCCACGCTCAAGGAGACGCATCTTTCAGTGTTCCTTGAGCGGGACAGGGAGCAGATGATGAAGAACCATGCGCGGTTTGTCGGCCTCTTCGCCCCCGCCGAGCGGGAGAGAACCGAGCGAAGGGACCGCACGGGCAGCCGGTACACCGTGCGGTCCATATCGGGGCACACGTCCCCCGTACTCGACGTTCAGCTCGTGGACCCTGTGATGAAGGCTCTGTCGTGTTCAGCTTCGGGAGAGGTACGCCCACAGTCGCCAAAGCCGCATCGTTGAGCGTCACCTGATCATGGTCTACAATACAGATCAAGCTCTGGAATGTGAACACACGCGAGTGCCTGAAGGACTACCAGAGCTCGCCGGTGGTGTCGCTTTTCTATGACGACAAGCATCGAACTCAGTTCTGGAGCGCGTCGCTATGTGCCCCGGTCTGCCAGTGGGACTTGCCCAACGGGCTGCTCCTGCGTCAGCTCCAAGGTACACAAGTTCTCTTGCGACGGCAGCTTCTGGTGTTTTCTTGGCTGACAAGTTCCATAATTGTTGAAAAGACATGGTCGCCACGACGAAGATCACGCACAGCAATGCAGGTCTGGGCGAAGGCATTCTCTGCGGCGGCTTCGACGGCACGGTTACGCACGTCGACACGCGGGAATTCAATCAGCGATTGCAGTTCTGCGCGAGTGGGGGTGCAATCAGGGACTTGACGACTGTGGGCGATTACAGCATCGCCACGGCCGCCGGCGAAGTGGTGCAGAGTACG